AGTTATTCTGTAAAAGAAGGGACGTCTTGAGGGCAGTTGGAATTGGCAGAGCTCGTCATACATCACAAATTTTACGAAATTTTTCTTTGGAAAAAAATTATTAATAATAAAAGTTTACTGATAATTTTTGCTAAAAACACTGCTTAATAAAGAGTTTTCTATATTTCTAACCGCTTCTTTATTCGTCCGTTATACAATATTCATACTTACGAGGTTGATGGTTTTTGCATGCTAATCGAATGCCTCCAGAAAGGAAAACAAAGCATCTATCGTTTACCCAGACGACAGGAAAAACGCATTGGGGACCGTGAAGAATAACCGGGGGCAAGTGTGTGGAACGCTTCTGTTGCAAACTCACGTACCAGCAATGGATCAGGGACGTTGGAGACACGTATGACGCCTTTGCCTCCGCGACCCGAAAAGATAAACGGTCATCAGAACTTATTGGTTGATCGGCTAATGACTAACTGATTATGATCATACATTCACTCATCTTCCATGACCCCTTCTCCATTCGGATCGCGGAGGCAGATGCGTCAGGCAGAACTTCCAACTCCAGATTCTGCGCCAGAGTGTAAGCCTCGGCAGATAACCGGAGTTTGGAACAGACGCCTTCCATATATTAGCACCAGACTAATATCTCTCAGCCGAACCTTGGACTTCTGGTGGTTGGTTTCGCAAGAAATATTTGCATAACCTTTCTCTGTGGAGCAATTCGCAACCTATGCCCAAACCGTCGGAGCTGCAACTTCTCAATCCCGAGAAGCAGAGACCGTACAACAAGACTTTCGCGGATGTCTGCATTCCCAACCATGTCCAGACGCATAAAGCCAGAGATTCGACTAATAAAGCCCATTTCAGCAGTTTGTACTCGGGTTCGAAGCTTCCCAGTCATGATTCACCACTCATGACCGTAGCCAAGCATTGGGGATAAAGATCGACTTAAACACCGCGAGCGTAGATTCCGGACCGAGCTCCGTTTTAGCCACAATGTATCGGGCAAGTTCACGCAGAACGCCACTGGCAACTCCAATTCTCCGATCAATCGCTTCCTCAAATTTTCTATCACTAGTAAATACAACCTGAACTTCTCCATCTGCTCCACTGCCTCTCCGCTAATATGAAGAGAGCAACGGACAGGGGAACGAGAACGCACTAGGCTTTTCATTTTAGATGCGTTCACACGCATGCCGCTCACGTCGTACTCGCCTGCGAACCTGTCTAGGGAGCACTGTAAGTCAGTTTCAGAGGATGCCAATAAAACAAGGTCGTCTGCAAACAGCAACTTTATCGCCTTCAAATCACGTACAGCGATACACTCATCGCCTTGGCAGCTTCACTATTCCATCCATGTACAACACAAACAGGAGAAGGAATACGACGCAGCCTTGTCGGAGACCAGTGCTAAGGTTCAAAGGTTTCGACTTAACGCTATTTACTCTGACGCAGCACCTGCTATCAGAATACAGTGACTAGATGACCCTTAGCAGCTGGCCATCTATTCCGTATGCTCGCAGACATGACCACAGTTGTGTGGGATCCGGTCACAGGCACTTTCTAGATCAACAAAACTCATGTAATGCTGACGGGCGTACTCCCAAGATTTCCCAACAACCTGGCGCAGGGCAAATATATGATCAGAGGTGCTTCGATCAGACAGGAAGCCAAACTGCTCTTAATGTGTCTTGGAGTTAGTTATTCTGCGGCATCTCCTTTCTGTTAGGTTTGCGCAGACTTTACCTCAGGGAGTCAATAACGTAATGCCCCTTTAAACAGGGCACTCCTTATGATATCCCTTGTTGAACTGGGTTAAAACAACTCCCGTTCTCAAGTCCGCTGTTGCCTTCAATGTAGCCACAGCAGTTTGACAGACATGTGTAAGCCAGCAAATGCCTTGTTCGCCTAATGGCTTG